ACTCGCTACGGCTATGAGTTTTTGATGAAAGAGCTTGCACTTAGATTCAACATTTAAGTTCACGTTTCAGTGTGTCAGTATCAACAGTACAATTTTGTTCCGTCAATTAAAAACTGGCTCACCTAAGATGCCGAGAGTACCAAAATCCAATTCTACAAGCCGTCGTCTGCTGCGAGCTAAAACTGCCTTGCAAGACGGGCATCTTAAATCCAGAAGAGCTTACAATCATTCCAATTGCATTATTTTTCACTAAAAACGAGATAATACCTGGGAGATTGGTAAAAGCAGTGTCTGAGAAACTCATTCGGTTTAGGTAGATTTCGTGTTCTTTGACCGACGAAAAAATTATTTCCTTTCGAGTCTGCAGTTCGAAAGTATTACATCCTTCGTTTGTCCGGATAAAGATACTTCGCTTGACTCTGTGAAAGCTTTTTTAAAATACGCTTAAAAGTCAGAGCTTAAACACGTCAAACGATGTGGGTACAAAGTTGTGGAAACAGAAAATTGAATTCAATAAGAGAAGTAAACGCAATCTTTATCTGGAAAATATTTCACCTAACAAACCAGAATAAGAATACCAGCAGTATGCAAAGGAACACATAGAGCCATTGAAACAACAGAGGCGCTTTTTCTGACCATATTTTGATCAAATTGCGGATCAAATCCTGACCATATTTTCTTTTGACCATAATAACAATATTTGAAAACAATTATTACTCTTTTTTTTGTACTGTAATTTTTACCGCTTGTATAAGTTTTTCTTTTCAATTTTAAGAAAAAGAGGATTTTGTCATCCAGTTTTTAGAGGCTGTTTTAAATCAGCTTTCAAAAAGCACAATCGAGCCGTCCTCTATCCCAAAAAAAAACATTGGAAACATCACCTCTAAAATACTGATTAGTGATGATGATTTCCGAACCATTTCAAACCCTGAACCATAAATTAATGCCATTCGATGACTGTTTTCCAATCTCAAAAAAATCATCCGATTATCGGGTGATCGATAAAGATTAGACATCCGCATCTATTTAGTTAACGTATGTTTCAATGCTGATAATGGATAAGTCCTTGCTTTTAAATTGCGCGTTGCTACAGATAATAATTCCACCTCTAGCTTTTAATTGTTCATTTGCAAGTTCAGTAATAAACAAAATTGCGGAATCCAGTCACAATTTGCGGAATCCGCTTACACTTTGTAGATTCCACTTACAGTTGCGGAATCCAGAACAACTAGCTATAATTGCTTTTTGCGGAATCGACAACAAAACAAATGTGCCGACAAAATTCACGTTACAGGTATTTGAACGCAGAATCCCCTGAAAATTTCTTTAGTGGAATCTACTTACAATTCGGAATATATTTAAAGACTTTCATCAGGAGTACAGGAACATACTGACACAAAATTGTGCGCCTATCCAGTGCACAGTTTGAACTCTTAATGCATTATGGGATTTGTACAATTCCACTCAACAGAAGGAATTTTTTTTTATTCGTTATCCTTTGCAAAACATTTCCCTCAAAATTTTCCAAAAGAAATGGTTTCCATGAAAAAAAAATATCAGCAAATCTGGTTACGATATATTCAGGCATTTTTCAAAAAACTTTACAAGGAACTAACAAACGTAACGAGATTGCAATAAATTAGAAAGATCCAAAAAGATTGAATAGGATATTGCTTTTCAAAACTTGGAAAACTGAAACAGTTCGGTTTCTGTTTTTTTTAGCAGATTATTAACAGATGACGCTACACTGCAACCGATTACTTACACATCTTCTTTAAATAACAAATATGATTGAGCTGAAATACTACATAGAAACCTGCTAGTTATTTGCCATTTAAACAAGCTTAAATACAAAACATCTTAACCCAAATTGCCTTCATAAACAACTCCTATTATAAAAACATGTAATCATATGGTACAAACAAACGAAGCTGGCGTTCGTTAACCAATACGATCAATTGAAACTATTCTTGCCGCTGAATTTAAAACTCAAGTAGATCTGAAAAATTGTTGTTGTGAATAAAAGCAAGGCCAACACCACAGCAATTGCAGATAAAGCACACCGTGATTGCAAGTAAGATTTCTCCGATAGTTATTTTACCTAATTGCTTCAAAATCAAATTTGTTAATTCAGAAAAACTCGAGTTTTCTACTTTCAAAAAATCCTGTTAGTTCAAACCTGAGTTTTGCCCTATTTTAACTGAAAGCGATAAAAATGCTATTATAAAACCTTTACTCAGGTAACATCAGATAACAATTAAATAATTTGTCCCTGCCAAAAAGGCTTCAAGGCTTCCTGCAAATTCAGGTGTTTTGAATATTTGCTTCACAAATTCGAAAGAAACCTTTTCATTGTAAGAAATTTGTATTGGAACAGATTCTTTGAGAAGGAACGTTCTGCCGATAGCAAGTACACCGTTTGCTACAGAGGATCATATATGACTCTTTAACAGTGTCAGCATTGGGCTTGTTAATTGTGGGCTTGAAATCACTCCGGTAACTCTAGCAGCGTCCAAAACTTACTAACCGCTCAGTTTCACTCGAGCTTCAATTCTCAAACGCACTGACAGCAAAAGTGAAAATTGTGTAACATTTTAACATCCAATGAATTGATTACATCTGACCGCAAAAATACAAAAAATTCCTTCTGAGTTCATCTGACAGCAAAAATAACTTATTTTTGCTGTCAGATGAACTCAGAGGGACTTTTAAGTAATTTTGCGGTCAGATGTATTCAATTCATTGAATGTTAAAATGTTACACAATTTTCACTTTTGCTGTCAGTGCGTTTGAGAATTGAAGTTCGCGTGAAACTGAGCTGTTAGTAAGTTTTGGACGCTGCTAGAGTTACCGGAGTGATTTCAAGCCCACAAATAACAATTCAATGCTGACACTCTGAAAGAGTCATTTATGATCATCTGTAGCAAACGGTGTATTTGCTATCGGTAGAACGTTCCTTCTCAAAGAATCTGTTCCATTCCAACTTTCTTATAATGAAAAGATTTCCTTCGAATTTCTGAAACAAATATTCAAATCACCTGAAAATGCAGGGAGCCTTGAAGCCATTTTGGCATAGATAAATTATTTTATTGTTATCTGATGCTACTTGAGTAAAGGTTTGGTTATAGCATTTTTATCGCTTTCAGTTAAAAAAGGGCAAAACTCAGGTTTGAACTAGCAAGATTTTTGGAAGTAGAAAAATTGAGTTTTTCTGAATTAAGATTGGAAAAGAGTAATGAACGCAAGTAGATAAAAAATAACTGACTTTCTTGAAAAAATTTGAAGATTACTGCTTACTAAAAACTTTTTTTTTCAATTTTTTCATCAAGGTTATGATAATGTAAACTATTGAGTAATATATTTAGCGTCTCAATTGGCCTCATTAGTACCCGGCTAGACTTAATTATATGAAAATGAAAAACAAGCAAAAACATCTATATTTAAAACTTTTATCTATTTTTTTTCTTTCACCAAAAAATAACAGAGTTAAAATAAAAATCAATGCAAACATCCAGGACGTTGTACAGATACGCGCATTTTTTCAATCTATTGAGAATCAGTTTAATTGAAATCCGCTCTGTGTTTAATCAGCTTACAAATGCAGTTTTGAAAAGAGAAAAGGCCGCAACTAGTAAAAACAACCGTAAAAACCATCGTGTAGCAATTTAGTTTTGTTCACAAAAGAAACTTAAGCAAGAGCTCTCAAGTGAATCTGTCAGAATAATTGGACGGACATTTTCTGGGAGCATCTTTGAAAAAACTGAACCGTCTTAAATAATGAAAATATCGTTCATCAACGCTTACCACGTTGAAGCAACGATGAGCTATAACTGAGGTGGTAGAAATGCGTGTCTAAAAAATTAAGATTACGGGTTCGAAATCACACGTGTTCGACAACTTACAAGGTGACTTCATAGAACTGCATAATAAAATGTTATCCTAGACTTCATTTCTCAGCGCCCCCTCAAAATGAAACACGGTCTCAAGATATGTTAATGTTCCGACCATTGAAAATGTGGAGGAACTTTGTATTCGGGTGTTTTTTCTTTTTGTTTTCCACGCAAAAACAGGTACCACAAATAATCATCGAATAGGGCTGAGTGATGTATCATATTAAAGCCCTTTCAGTCATGATTCGAGCCACATTAGAAAGTTCCCACAATTTTTTTTCTAGTGTCGAAAAACACCGCTTTGAAATTTTTGATTTTTCGTCTTCATTCGAGCGAATGAAGCGAGAGAGCAGGCTTACAATAGCTGAATTATGCCTAATTTAAAATTCAGAGTTTTTTAGCTTCATTTTGAGAACCAAAAATTTCAAAAAAAAAAACAGTTCAGTCGTCAAACTTGGGTCTGAAATGCGGAAACATAGCCACTTAAGTTTTTTGAAAAAATCTCAACATTCCGATTTCCAAAAAAAAACATAGAAGCCTTAAAGCTCGTTCAATTTCAACAATTTGTGATAGGCATTTTTTCGATAAAGCTAACCCAAATTGAGAAAACTGGATCAATAGGTAATTTTTTTATTTCGCTTGGAAATCTGATAATTAAATTCCACTTTCAAAACTAGAAGTCGACCTTTATATTTTCACTGTCTGAAAGGGGATTTTGTCTTCCTTTTAACAAAAGAAATCAACTGAACTTAGAAAGAAATCGAAAGTCAAACCGCGATGGAAGTAAACTTGAGCCTGAACAAATTTTAAGACTTTTTCTTTAAAAAATCATCGCGACTTCTGCAACGCTCATCAACTGAAAATTCAGACCAAATTTTCTCTACGCTGAAATGATGGCTAAAAGGGCTTTAATAGGATCGCACTCTTGACCCTAGAAAACTTCTTTGTGGTAGTGAAAAGCGAGAGAAAAACATTACGCCATAGCTCCTTCCTTTGTGAAGTGGTTGTAACAAAAAAACGAAGAATCACTAGACTATAAAGAACATTCACAGATTAAAGGGCTGTCAACAGCAGAGCTGAGTCTGTAAAGCCGTTCGAATAAAAACCTAATCCTTATTGATTTCCACTTGCTTTATCGACCAATATAAATATTTTCTAGTTAATTGTAAAACAAACAACGCCGAAAGTTTATATCTATTAGACAATAAAGGAGTTTTGAGTTAACTACTTCAGCTTTGTCTGCATCTGGTTGGTCTCGCAGCTGAGAAAGAAGGGGACCGCATTGAAGAGTTAGTGTATTGTTAATCGTCGTTAAACTTGGGTTAGATCAGATGTATTCGAAGAAAGTAGAGAATTGAGAGCAGCATGAACATCTGCATTGATGTTTACCATGTGGTTCTCCGAATCACTCATTATATCTGCTTGTTTCAAATTAGGCGGGAGTGATATCGCATCGGTCGCAAAAGGGTTAACAGCTGACTGTATTGGCGGTGGGGTTAGGAAATTAATAGGGAATTGGGAGGGGTGAAAAGTTGAAGGTGGTGGAAAAGGAATTGGAGGCGCAGTTGGCATGATCGGTGAGTTGGATAGCGACTGCTTCCCTGCAATACCAGGCAAAATGAAAGCAGACATTGCCTGATTGATAAATGGGTTGACTGGCTGTGAAGGTGAGAGTAGAGCTTTTGGTAATTTGGGGATTGAGAACATCTGTTTAACTGGAGTCGTGCAATCCACTGCCTGGACCGCAGATGGACTTTTGCTCTTGAAAAACGTATCCGTGTTGGCACATGCTACCGAGGAGATAACACAAGAAACTACGTCTTTCCGCTCCGGAATTTGCATTGCTGTCATAAATGTTTTTCGCATCGACGAGAAGCCTTCGTTGCAAGATGACAATGGTGTCCCGTAACTTTCTATATCGTAAGCTACCATATCATCTCTCACGTCGCCTTTTGGAGTCACATCTATGGTCGAAGAATCGTTTGGTATAGTTATGCCTCGGGACAAAGGCGGAGGAGAGCACATTGCATCTATCCTAGGAGGTGAATATTCTTCTTCAGTCTCTGAAGAGTCGGATACAGATTCCATGTAAACATTCGAATCGTTTTTCGACGAAAAACCTTTAGTTTTATCGGTATTAAACACCATTGGGTATGAATATTGCGAGTTTAACATAGCTTTCTTAGCCTTTGCCCAAACTTGTAGCTTTAAAGGTGTGATTGATGATTTCGCGACAAACAATTTCAGCGCTTTTCTTTTTTGATATTGATCTTTGAAATAAAAATCTGCTCTGCTCAAACATTTAATTGCGTAACTATCATATTTAATTTTTTTAGCCAATGTTTTAACAACTTGCTCCATGTTTTTTTCTGAGAGCTCAATTTGACATTTCATGTCATCAGCTGTTTTGAATAGTTGCTTAACCGTATCATTCGACGCTCCGTATGATGTTAATCGATCAATCAGGTTACTGGCTGTAGTGATTCTGATATGTTGTTTTGTCAACTGCTTTTTACGTTTTGAGCATTTTTTTAACACAGCGGTGGTCGTTGGCAATTCGAAAAAGATATCACGCAAAAATTTGACACCGTCCGCTTCGTCAGAAGACACTTTTTTGGGCATCGGCCTGACTTGCATAACTGGCTTGCTTATTAATTTTTTCCTTTTTTTCGATTTTGAATCAATCTCATATCTGTTGTAGCCAATTATTCCCCTCAAACCCGCGCAAAACTCTCGCCTGTAAACGCCGCGATCTTCCCAAATATCAACAATATGTCCAAGGCTTGAACAGAGGGTGCTTTTACGACAGACAGAGAATGCTTGGTTGAGAACTTTGGCAAACTCAGTCACGAATTGTGGAATTTTGTGTCGCTTGGAATTTTGAATGACGTCATTAGCAACAAAGAGCATATTTAATCGTTTTTTGTCACTGATCGCGTCTCCGAAAGATTCGAGCCAGAGGGATACAATTTCTGAACAGCTGCTGGCAGTACTGTTACTAAGTATCCATCGGGCAGCATTTTGTATCATATCTTGGCTATCATCTAGGCTATTGAATTTCTTTTTGAACTTACTCTGTTCAATGTAGCTTTCCATAACTGACTGTTTATTGAAAAAAGAGATAACAAACAATCGCGTGAGCCTGTTTCAGCAAAAGAAACGATTATACCAACCCTTGGAGATAAATGGCAGAAGCGAGCTCATACAATGCCTGAAAAACGGAATACAGTCGTCGAAAAAAAGTTGTAGGTAAGAAGCATAGTTTGTTCTTACCAAAGTACTTTAAGCTCTGAAAAATTGGGTCAGATAGGCCAAATTAATAAAAAAAAACTAAATTACAAAAGGGGCCCTTCCGTTTAGTTACGGTAAGTGCACAAGCTGGATAGGGCCATACCGGCGATATAAAAATGCATATATATCAGCAATGAAGTCATAAATCAGCATTAAATGCATCGTCATAATGTTAATTTATCTTAGCCGTCCTTCCTCTACAATAGCGCTTATGGAGTTGTCGTAGCGATCTGCGTAGCGATCTGCACTTTGCGTAGCGATCTGCACCCCCTTATACAAAGTATAGAGCTCCTCAGGAGCGCGAAGCTTATTTTAGTTCTTATGTAGTTTATAGATTCTGGATAGCTTTCTTGTCTTTTTTCACTTAGTTTTTCGGCCAATCGCTGCATCGTCCGCGTGGCTGTTGGAGCAGCGCCACCGGTGCATCCAAAAATTAGCGGGCAGAAGCTACTCTGCTCTACGTTTAAAATCCTTTGCTGATATTTGGAGTTCTTCAGCGTTTCGTGGTATTTGTATGCATCCTTCTGCAGTTTTCGCGATGTTTTGGCATGGGGGTTGAAAATTTTCACATCAAAGAAAGCGCGGCTGAATCTTGAACCCCAGAGTCCGTTTGCCTTAATGTCAAGTCGTGCCTCATCTTCAGTTGTAGTTGAATTGTTGACAAAGCTTTCGCCTTGCAACGGCTGAAGTTTCGGCTCAATCTCGACGTCATGGCAAACCTCGTTCATGAGGTTGGCGAATGTGTCTGTGATTTCTTTGTGTCTTATGTGTGTGTAACCACCCTTTGCACAGTGAAGCGCATGTGTCAAGTTAAAATCAGCACCACATGCACATGTGAGTGGGGTTTTGGTTGGTTACCATCCGTATCTTAAGTAAATACCATCTCTGAACTCTGATTTATTCAGGTTGAAGTTGTATCTGCTCAGTGGTAGAGCATTGAGCCAGTTAGAGGCTCCCTTTTCAGAGGCCAGGTCGATTGCGTATTTATGTGTTTCATTTAAGGAGTTAATGAGGTTTGAAGAAATTTTTGCTAAAAAGTAAATTTCAAACGTTTTCGCAACTATGTGCATCGTCAGGATTTTTACAATAAACTACTCTAAATGACGATAAAACATCAATTTACAAATGTTATTTACAATAAATCACATACAATTTGGTTCTAAACCATCATGATAAAAAATTAGCCAATCACAGTTGACCTCTAAATTACTATTAAGATTAAAATACTTTTAACCTCTAAAATTAATTAAACATTTTAAAATTAATTTGTCTGGAAGTTTCTGAGTCATAATTTCGATTTAGACATGTACGTTTTGAATAAAAAACCAAAAATATTTTGGGACTAAATTTTCAGTGTTAACTCCCTGCTCCTAAACTCATCGCGCGTGTTCAAGCCCGGTTTCTCTTTCCTGATATGTATTGCCTCTAGTGTTAGCAATTTTGTTTGGTTGTTTGACCTATCTATAATTACCCAACTAAGATCTGCGCTATTTCCCTCAAGTTGGCATTGCTGAAGGTGGAGGCCTACCGGTGAGTCTGCTTTCCTATGTTCCTCAATTCTAGTGGTCAAATGTCGAACAGTTTGTCCGACATAGGTGGAAGTGCATCCACTACATGACAGTTTATAAACCACTCTTGACTTGAGGTCATTAGAAAATGCTGACTTCAGTGATGGTAAACATGATTGTAGTTTTCTTGTGGTGAAAACCACTTGAACGTTCGTTAATTTTCGTAACCTGTTACCAAAATATTGGCTCTGGTTACCTCTATATTGCACCATCAGCATTGGGGGCTTTTCATCCTTTGGTGATTGAACTGACAAACCCCTGTCACTATCCAGGGGCTTGCCTTTACCCTCGATGATCTTGCACAAGGCGTCTGAAGCCACCTTTGCGGACCAATTTTCAGGGTACTGATTTGTCAGCCATTGCGCCCTATTAGTTTCCATAGCCTTATCAAATTGCTCCCAGCTAGATGTACTCCTAAAAACCCTGTGTACAGTGCCTTGGATAACACTACGCTTATACTGAGTTGGGGCGCAGCTTCTATAGTTCAGTATAGTCCCTGTATCTGTTGGTTTTTGATACCAACTGCAAGTTACACGCCTATCCTGCGATATATTTATGTTCAAATCCAGGAACGGCAAATTCCCCTCCGAATTAGTTTTCTCTAGAGTGAACTGCAAATTTGGATGAAGAGAATTGGCGGCATCGAGAAGACAACTCGGCTCCCCTCTGACTGTTCTAACAATGTCATCCACATACCTGAGGAACAATTTCACCTGGGGAGTATCCTTCTCCTTGTTCTTAGCTCGGCAGCAGCTTTCACAGTACCAGACTATCTCGGTTATTGATGCGTATACGTCATCGGATATTTTTCCGCATTTTAGATGATACCAGTTTCGGCAACTCTCGCATTCAACCCCTTTTGATCTATATGTGACTTTCCTGCTGCAACATGGGCACAAGCCGTTTTTGTCATTAATTTGCTGTACCCCCGTTCCCACCGGTATTTGTTGTCGTAGAGCAAATTCGTATTCTTTCAGCCATAAGTTTGCCAGAATTACAGCGAGGGACGCTCCCATTGCTAAACCATCAACTTGTACATACCATGAATCATTACACTTGAAATATACTTTGCTGACCGCCATATACAAAAGCCTTTTCATGGTTGCTCTTTGAATTTCAGGAGGAGACTCCTGGCTGTACAGCTTCTGTAAAGCAATTTCAATTGCCTCCTTCAGGGGAACGTTGGTGTACAAACTTTTCACATCAAGAGATATTATGGTTTCATCCGGATCTAGAGCAATGTTTTCTATTTTTTCTCTAGCCTCTTTAGTATTGGTTTCTATATTTGCTCCATCGATGTTGTCAAAAAACTTCGCAAGCATTTTGTTAAGATTCTCATACGAGCTGCCGGGAAGTGATAGTACAGGTCGTAGGGGTGTCTCATCCTTGTGTACCTTAGCTAAACCGTACAAACGGGCGGGTTGCCCCCCTGTTGATCGTATCTTAGAATATAACTGATCACTTATCTCGTCTCTTTTGTTCATGGCTAGTAACTCTTTGTTAAGTTCTTTCTCAATTTTCAGTATCACCTCATCAGTGGTTGCATCTTTTTTCACAAACTGAGCAGATTGCAACAAGGATTCCAGCTTTGATTCATATGTTTGTTTCCTCATTATGCAAAAACCAACCCCCTTATCAAAAGGCACAGCCAGCAACCCATTATCTTTGAGATATTTCCTCGTTTTTTCAACGGCTTTGTCTCTTGGGGTTTGCCGTACGTTTTTTGCATATGCCTTTGCCGCGGCTTCTATTTCACATAACGTTTCACCAGATGTTTTTTGATTTTTCAATTGTGAGAGGAAAATGTCGATATCCGCCAAAAAATGTGTTTCGTTAAATTTGTCTCTAATTGGATGCTTGGGGCCCATTGATAGCACTTCATATACCCATTCAGGCAGTTCAATATTATCAAGTACCCTAACTGATCGCTCATTTCTCCCCCCAAGAGGTTTATCTTGTCTCTCGGACAGTTTTTCTAACTTTTTTCTATGGTTTTCTGATGTTGTCTTTAAGCTTGCCTCAACTTGCCGCCTCACGAATCGGAAAATGGATGCCCACCACTGTTTGTCAATTTCTTTTTGCACCAGTGATCTCGCTTTCCTTAGCATCTCCTCGTACCTTTTCCTATCCTCATTTGCCCTAGAAGTTTCAGTCCTTAGTAGTTTCAATTGAAAATTATGCACAGCTTGGTCCGAAAAAACCCCGTTCTCGGGGACCCTAAACTTCAAAAAGTCCGGTATTAGATCGTTTTTCAGACATTTTCTCAGAAACTTCAGTCTATGTACAGATACTTGAACTTTTTTAAAGAATTTTAAATAGTCTAACACAATTTTCCAAGTTAGTTTCCTTTTCAAAATTTGTCTGAGCCAAACAGCAGGCAAAAGTACTGTGGTCATTGTTTTGCAGGCCACGAGTAATGAAACTCACAAGGCACAAAGCAAAACAAATCACACTCTTCTCACCCCTGTCTTTGAAGCGCAGACACTTCCTCTGCCCTCAGCTTCTGCTCACGTCTTGCTTTCGCCTTCCTCCTTGTCTGTGACGGTCTCTGTTGTTTGCCCCTGATATTGCCAATCAGCTCTGACAGCCTTTCTTTGTGTGCCACTACCAATCGCAGAGATTTCAGCTCCAAATCAGCACTCTGGTGCAGCTTCAAATATTCCTTGAGCTGCTCCGGGTTGTTTTGCTTGCTCTTGGAGAGTAGTCGTTTTGTAGCTGGAATAATGAGCACCCCTGTGCCGAGAAGTTGACTAAACAAGTCGGGCGTTCCTTCCCTTCTGCAATAAACGATCGCCAATATCTGCTGCTTCTTCGTCTTCAAATAGTTTGTCAGCTCCTCGACACCAGCTGGGCGATAGTTGTTTGTTCTGTGGCTGCTAATGGTGTTGTTCACCTCGTCGTGCCACACAACCACTTTTTTCTCCTTCAGTGGACTGTCTTCGAGTAGTCGTCGGAGGTTCTTTCCTTGGTTCAGCAAGTTGTTATTAAGGGATAGGCCAGGAATTGCTGTAACAAGGCTCTCGTATTGCTTTTTTCCCCTGTGTTAAGGGTGTTGATGCTGTGGAACAGGGAGCTAGCTGCTACAATATGAAACATTTCGGTAACTCAAATAAAAATTGGCCATTTTTTACGTATCGATAAAAAAAAAAACACTATAAAAATTTTCATTACATTGATGAAAATCATTAAAAATTTTTATACTGGCCCTTTAATGGGAAAACAGTTGGAATTTCAAGCTCTTCGCTTTTTGGTTTATCACGAATTTACAAGTAAAATTTTTGCTAAAAAGTAAATTTCAAACGTTTTCGCAACTATGTGCATCGTCAGGATTTTTACAATAAACTACTC